CACAACAGATGTAAAAAATACTGGATTTGATTTTACTTGGATCTTGGTAACAACAGTAAAGAATTCAAAAGATATGTTGCCTTGAGGAAATTTTCTGTCAAGGATCTATCCAAAGTTCTAAAGAGCAAAGATGTTGCTTTAAAGACTAAAGTGCACCTGATCCAAGCCGTAGTATTTTCATCTGCTTCCTATGCATCTGACAGTTGGACAATAAATAGGGAAGACTGACGAACAGATGCCTTTGAACGGTGGTGCTGGTGAAGAATACTGAGTACACCATGGACTGCTAACAAGCACATCTGTCTAGAAGAAAGTGCAAACAGAGTGCTTCTTAGAAGCCAGGAGGGTGACATTTTGTCTCATTTCACTATATTTTCAAGAAGTACCAGTTCTTAGAGAGGGATTATTTTGTGACAAGCGTAATGGGGTCAGTGAGAGGAATATCTTTTTGTTGTTGCTTTTTTTAAAAAAAATTATTAATTTCAATGAAAATTTAGAGACTTTGGATTTCCATTCATTCATTATTGCACTTTTATCCCCTCTCAACCCTCCCCCTTAGTATACTACTCTCTTGGAAAAGTAAAAGAAAAATACTTTCATTGCTTTACAATCCCTCTCCCCAGGCCCACTCCACTATGCAGCCTTTGCTCTGGACTCCTGTCATGACAAAAATACCTAATCACACATCTCTTTTTAAAGAGTTTTCTCCCCCATCTGCTTCAATGCAGTATACATTATTGAACCCATCTTTCTCAGTCTCCCACCAACCCTGATGTCAGTCCTGTTTTACAACAGTGGTACCATGCAGTATTTGTCCTTTTGTGACTAAGATACTTCACTCAGCATAATGTCCTCCAGGCTCACCCATTTTGAATAATATTGCACGAGTTCCTTGTTGTTCAATGCAGTGTAGTATTCCATTGTGTGAATATGCCACAGCTTCTCTATACATTCATTTGTTGATGGGCACTTAGGTTTTTCCAACTCCTTGCTATTGTGAACAAAGCTGTGGTAAAGATGGATGTGCATACCTCTGCTTGGATGCCAGTTATGGTCTCTTTGGGCTATATTCCCAGTAGTGGAACTGCTGGGTCAAATGGTATCTCTATTTGCAACTTTTTGAGAAAGTGCCACACCACCTTCCATAGTGGTTGCACCATTTTACACTCCCACGAACAGTGAATAAGGGTTCCAGTTTCACCACAACCTCACCAGCATTTGTTGCTTGCTGTTCTGTTAAGTTTTGCTATTCTGACTGGGGTGAGATGATATCTCATAGTTGTTTTGAGGAATATCTTTTTTTTTAAAAAAAATTATTATTATTTATGTGTGTACCATCAAAGAAGATCTGACTGGTACAGGAGGAGATTGCCCCTCCTTCTCCAGCAGAGCATCTGGTGGATTCGAACTGCATACCTCTGGGATTTCAGTGTATTTCTTGCCACTAGGCCACCAGAGCTCTTTTGAGAGGAATATCTTGAAGAAGATGGACAGATGCAATGACTGCACCCAGAGATCATAAGGATGGTACAGGGTAAGGAAAGGTTCCAATCTATAGTTCAGAGTTGCTATGAGTAGTAGCTGACTTGAGGGAACCTAACAACAATCCCACTTTCGACCACAGTGGATTGGAATATACATAAGGTACTCAAATAGCCACCTATTCGAGAGGACAGAACAGTTCAGCATCATCATAGAACAAGGGCAGGTACTAACTGTGGAACAAATGACTAAATGCTCTCATGCAAGCTCAAGCTGAAGCGGAAAAAAATTAAAACAAGACCACGACAGAACTTGAGCAAATTCCATCTGACTTTAGAAACCATCTTTAGAGTGAAGTTCTAAACACTACTGACCAAAGACCAAACAAGTGGTGGGATGACGTCAAGGATATCACAGGTAAGTCTTGGAGAAGGTGCAATCAGGATGCTAGAGGGAGGGAAGGATGGCAAAGCTTCATCTCATATACTTGTGTGTACTGCTAATCAAGGTGATTCCTCAGAAAAGGACATCTTGCTTGGAAAGGTGGGGGGATGGTGAGAGGAAGATCCTCAACCAGGTGGACTGACACAGTGAGTGCAGCAATGAGCTCAAGTGTGTCAGAGATTGTGATGTTGGCATGGGACAGGCCAGGGTGCAAATCTGTTATACATGGGATCACAGTGAGTTATACTCAACTGCACCTAACTACAAGAAGCAAATAATCAGAAAAGTGGGACTATAAGAGGAATGTGGCTTTCAGGAGAAAGGTTGCAACACCTTCATGATACATCTTCAAGGATATGAACATGTACGGCCAAGCACAATCAATAAGAGTGCATCTAAATTCCAAAATCAATCTCCATAATAGTCTATGTGTTTCCTACTGCCAAAGGGGCCCTTTAGAGTAGTGAGAGAAGATCTTCACCCTGAAACCCACAGTGTCCCTTTTCAGCAGGAAGTAGCTAAGAGAATACGCCATCCCCTTTTCCTTATGAATCAGGGTGAAGTCTCAGGGAGGAGTGATAGGGAATGGTAAAAGGACACACCGACAAAGGAGATTAATCAGAACTGACTTTGACAAGCACTGTGGCAACTGGACAATTAAAAGAGACATTTGGATGGCGGGGAAGAAGAACAAACTGGGGAGGAGGGTGGAGAGAATGGTGCAGCAATGAAGGAGTGAAAGCCCAGAATCCCTGTGAGTGTTCATTGAAACTAATAAAATTTAGTAATAAAAAAAAAAAGATTGGACAACGAAATGCAAAAAAAAAAAGATTACAGACTTATACAACTTGTATGACATAGAGGACACAACTTTGCTTACTGAAAACAAAGATGATCTGAAGCACTTACTGACAAGATTCAAAGGCTATAACTTTCAATGTGGATTACACTTTAACATAAAGAAAAAAAATCTTCACTAATTGAGCAGTAAGAAAATCACTATAAAAAGAGGAAAGATTGAAGCTGTCCAGGATTTCAATTTATTTGGATCCAATCAACACATGTGGTAGGAGGAGTCAAGAAACCAAAAGCTGTATTGCATTGGGCAATATGTTGCCAAGGACCTCTTTAAAGGTGCTAAAAGAGCAAAGATGTCAGTTTAATGGCTAAGGTGCACCTACCCACATCAGAACCTTTCCATGGTATTTTCAATTGCTCCATACAGATGGAAAAGTTGGACAATGAGTAAAAAAGACCAAAGAGGAAGTGATATCTTTAAATTGTGGTACTGATGAAGAGTACAGACTATACCATGGGTTGGTAGAAGAACAAGTTTATTTTAGAACATGTGCATTCAGAATGCTCCTGAGAAGTGAGGATGGCTAGACTTTGGAGAATTATCTGAAGAGTTGTGACTCTGGAGAAACACAGTAGAAGTCAATGAAAGAGGAAGCCCACCGATGAGATGCAATGACACTGTGGCTCTAGTACCCCGAATGCCACAGAAATGGTAGGTTTCATTCTATTGTACCCAGTGTCACCATGAACCAGAACTAATTCAGAGGTGGGTAACATCACAATTCCAGAGCTTCACGTGGAAGGTGCCTCACTAGCTGAGAGCTGAGGAAAAAGGCGCTTCTTAGCATGTGAGGAGGGTAGTAGCACAAGAGGTCCACCAGCTAAGAGCCCTTCACAAAGGCTCCATCTGGGAAGGGTAGGTGACTGAGGAACTGAATGTGTACGACTGAGGTTGAACAACAGTCAAGGGTGGAGACAAGCAGGCCAGACACAGAGCCTGAGTGGCAGCTCAGGCCCAGCATCTCCTCGGAGGTCTTCCCGGGGCAGCTGTGGTCAACTCAAAACCGAGGAGGACTCTGCAGGCTCTGTTTAAAGAGCTGACCATTTTATTCTGTGATACTGTTGAACAACAGTGTGACAAAGGCTGTGGGGAGTCAAACAGGTTTACAGCTTCTGATGCTAGAAACATGGTTTAACCCCTTCTTCTGTTTCTTCATCTGAGAATCAGAGAAGGCCCAAGGCCTGGGGTTCAAGTAAGGAGTCAGCCTCATGCTGCTGTCATGTGACTTTGTAAGGAAAGGGTTGTTTTTGTGCTCACACAGTAACCAGCACAAAACTTGTGAACAGTAATAACTCTGTTAGGATTACAAAGTCCTTTTAGAAAGAGAAGGTATAAAAACAAGCTGCTTCATCCTGATGATGGAGTTCACCACACAAACACTAGACATTATTCCTCCTAACTAGGTGGGAGTGTGGGCACACTCTCTCCATGATGAGGAACACAACACACAAGGACCTAAAAACAATGGAGAGCACAACCAAGGTGGCTCTGAGGTGAAGCTCAGACAGAGCTGAAGGAAGCATGGGCTGGACGCTGGTTGCCTCACAAGGCACAAAGCCCACACACAGCTGTCCATAAGCAAGAACCCAGCACAATCGCTTTTTACAACTTTCCCAGATTCCTACTCAAGGTTTCTCAACAGGGTGAGGAGAAAGGGCTCCTTTTAGACTGAGAGAAGAAAGCAGCTGGGTGGCCTGATCACCAGGAGCTTGGATGCATTCTCCTAGCTTTCACAGGACAGGTGTAGCAGAAGGCTGCCACTCCATCACACCCTTCCTCCCTGAACCTAACATGGTGACCGACACATAAACATATAGACTTCTGGGCCCTCATCAGTAAGGGGACTGGGTGAAGGCTGGACTGTTGCTATCTTGTTTCTCACGTCTTTGTCTTTTACAGAACAGTGTTTAGTGTCTAACAGATGCTCAAAAACACTGATAGGAGTCTCTTGGGAGCATGGCCTGGATGGCCTGGTTGTATCTATCACTCTACAACCTTCATGCTTCTCGTAAGGCACATGCTCTGGTGAGTTGATAAGGAGCACAAATAAAACTCAGTCCCAATCTAATTTTTAGGGTTTTCCCCACATTCTGTAGCCCTAACCCTAACCCACAACCCTCATTTCCAATTAGCTAAAACTCAACTTCAAGTTGAAGATTACAGATCCTTTTCAGTTCTGAAAGAATCAGATTTATAGAACACAAAGCTGGTTTACCTTGATTCGAGGCATAGTAACGGTAGGTGGCTTTGCCTCAGCCACAAAACTGTGAGATGCTCCTTTTTCCACAAGATAAGTCGTGTAGGGCATAAATTTCACACCCTTTGACCCAAACACAAAATCATCCCTCAAGGCGTCTATCAGGACAAGGACAACTTTACTGAAGAGAGGTGGCGGGAGTTTAGTCCAGTTGGAACTGGATCCTAAAATGTGTTTGGAACAGAAAAACAGAAATGGAATTCTAAGCTTTCTTTAGCATTCAAAGAACTTCAAATCTAGCTCTTACTAACTCCCCCCACATTAACCCATCATTCTACAAGTGCCTGTCACATATAAGCCCCTCCCACATTAACCTGTCATTCTACGTGTCTGCCATGTAGAAGCCCCCACATTAACCCATCATTCTACATGTTTCCGTCACGTAGAAACCCCCCACGTTAACCAGTTATTCTACATACGCCCGCCATGTAGAAGGCCCCCCACTAACCTGTCATTCTGTATGCCTGTCTACAGAAGCCCCCCTACAGTAGCCCATGATTCTACGTGTGCCCCCCGAAATTAACCTGTCATTCTACATGTCTCTGTCACGTAGAAGCCCCCACAATAGCCTGTCATTCTACGTGTTCTCGGCCCGTAGAAAACCCCACCCACATTAACCTGTCATACTACATGTCTCTGACACACAAACTCCCCACATAAACCTGTCATCCTGTGTGCCTGTCACGTGGAAGCCCCCCCACAGTAACCCGTCATTCTACGTGTGCCCGCCCAGCCCCAACAGGGACAATCCCCTTAGCCAGTGGTGACACCCGGAAAGCAGCAGTCCTCGTGAGGGCCCAGAAATGAAAAGGAGTCAGGAAGGAACAGGTGTAAGGGTGAGAGGAGAGGACTTTCCATGATGTGAAGTCTAAAGGCAAGGTAATGTGGGCACCCTGCAGAGAGGAAAGCCTCTGCCTCGAGCTTAGCTGGCAGCTGTGCCTGAGAGCCAGCCTTAAATACTGCAAAGAGGTGCTTCAATTCCCTACAAGACGAGGGCAAGGCAGCTCATCCGTGCTGAAAAGCTCACGCGTCTTACTGGGCCTCAAGTGTTCCCGAAACAGGGAGTGAGCTAAAGGTCACTGAGGAAAGAGGGAGGTCAAGGTGGCTGCCCCCGCTGCAGTGGCGGGTGGGCACGTGGGAAAGCTATCTGTATCCAGAGGCTGAAGCTCCTGGCAGCGAGGGTCAGACTGGGAGACCAAGACAAGGAAAAGGAAGGAACCATCTCATCCCACCCACGCAGAGGGTCCCCCTGAAAGAAACGTCCTCCGCGGGAAGTGAGGTCCAGGAGGGGCCGTACCAGCCGAGGGTTCCGGCGCTGGGAGCTCCGCTTGGGGCTCCGTCCCGGAAGCCGAACGAACCGGCGCCGGGAAGAATCCCCGAAGGAAGATGGCGACCCCGAGCACCTCAATCGCTACACAGCAGACGGCGAAGGTCCCGGACCCCAGCCGCATCGTGCAGACCTGGGTTCAGGGTCCCAGTTCGTTGGACCCTGACCGAAGCCCAGCCGGAACTAAACACTGCCCAACTCGGCCCCTGACCCAGTGCGAACTAGCTCCCTCTATCGCTCACGGGCGCGCAGTGTCGTCACGTCCGCCGGCGCGCCGGAATGACGCACGGGAGGGCGGGCACTCCACCAACTGAGGAGGTTGGAAGGCTAGGGCCTGGGGCGACACTGGCCCCGCCCCCACGCCGTCATGCCCCGCCCTCACCCCGCCCACCCTACGAGCCTCACCTCCTGAGCAGCTTCCCGGAAGTGTTGCCCAGATGCTTCCGGCAGACACCGCTACAGTATTGACCGTGTCCAAAG